GAGCAGAGGTAGCAGAGCCCCAGGTGGACACCAGCCAGCAGAGAAGTGTGCTAGAACCCACGTCCCAACACGCAGAATTCCCCCGTCCCTTGGCAAAATTGAGCCAGATCTCACGTATGACAAGTATAAACAATACAATAAGCAACACGTTAGAAAAAAAAAAAAAAAGGAACCAAGACCGCAGTGTTTAATTCACAATGATCTGCGTTGTTGCTCATGCTGTACAGATGGAGAACATCAAACACCTTGTACGTGTGCACACAATTGCACAACACATGGCACAGCCAGAAATGGGGTTGCATGTGGTTTTTGAGAAGCATTAACCTTCAGAAAACCATCGTAAATCATGTTAAGAACTTATGAGAAGTTAGTGGTTCTTGAGAAATATATTGAAAGGTCCTGCACCTTCAGTTGATACCTACAGCCTGCACTAGCCCACTACTGTATGTTCTACATCGCATTGGTGCAGGAGAACTAAGCAAAACACAACTAACAAAGAGGGGCACAGAAAGAAGATGAAGTAACAATTACCTACAGCCTGCACTAGCCCACTACTGTATGTTCTACATCGCATTGGTGCAGGAGAACTAAGCAAAACACAACTAACGAAGAGGGGCACAGAAGGAAGATGAAGTAACCATTTTTTTGTCCTGTATTTTGAAGAAAAAGGAAGGAAAGAAGGAAGCAACCTACTTGTAACATACCATATATGTCTACGATCTTCTCCAAGGCAAAAAGGGTGACAGAGAAGTTAAAAGTTTGTAAGGAGGTTTCATTAGTCATAATCAGATGACAGCCTGTGATCTGATTCAAGCCACACCAGAAATGACTTGGCTGATGCTCACTAAGTTAGTTTCAATCCCAGTTTACATGGAAGTATTTTACTTTCTATTAAACCCTGGCAATACAAAGACAGACAAGTGCTATCTTGGTTAAGCTGACGAGCGTGTAACTAATAGCTGGAAGGGAGGTAACTTTTCCAAAACACTCTGATTAGGTCTAAAGCAGCAGTCTCATTAGTCTGATTACATCCTTCAACAAACACCCAGAAAATAAGGACAAAACACTGAAGACCAGTAGCTGAGGAAAAGAAGGATAATTCACTTTGGGAATGTGTGAGACAACAGAGGCAAGCACAAGAAAAACCTTTATGTAAAGAACAGGTTTTCCAGAAGAACCACAGGGCTGATCCAAGGGCCCTGGAAGGCAATAGAAGATCTTCTGTTGACTTCAATGGGTTTTGGAGCAGCTCTGGGAATGGAGGGGAAGGGCCTGGGGCTGGCACGGAGAGGCAGGTTGTGGGGAGACTGGAATGCAGCTGCAAATAGATGGAGGAAGCAAACAGGAGCACAGGGCTGGAACACAGATGCAAAAGCCACACGGTTTTGTTTGTACGTCGGAGAAAAATAACCTGCAGGTTGGCTTGGGTTGAAGCTGGGGGAGAAGAAAATGGAGGGAGGCAGAAGGCAGGCCACTGTTTGAGCTGAACCAATAGAGCCATGGCTGGTGTGGTGGCAGCTGCCTGTAAAATACCACATTCCTTCCCTGAACATGTTCCCAAGAGGAACAGGATGTGGCCACTGCGCTAAGAGCCGCTGAGCTGTTTGCTGATGCGGTCCCACAGCTACACGGGGGGGAAGCAGGAAGGAAGAAATGGAGATTAACAGAATTATCTCTCTAAACTGTTTATCTCTCTGTAGTAGTTATATGGGTGTCCTTACAGTTGTGGCTGAACATGTATCTATTGAAGCGCAGGGTAAACAGATACCTGTGTTGTTTATATCACTCCTGAAAATCCCTGTTAGATGCATTAGTACGTTTGCAAACCTGGTTCGAAGTGAACTTCAGGACATAAGCAGAGAAAGCAGAAGCAGAGAAGTGATTCAAACTCTGAATTTTCCCTGAGCCATGCCCCAGCACACATCACATCATTTTACCAGTTCAATATCACACAGGCAGAACCTCAATGGCTGGGGTAAATTTCTGCTTCTTTTAATTAAGTTCAAACTACCAATATTCTAGTCATTAAATGTTGAGACACACTTGTCATCCAATTTTACACCCCCATGAGTATAAAAAACGCTTGCTTAGACATTGCACAATTGGGAAGGTATTTCAAAAAGTCCAAAGCCACTTTCCTGTCAGCTGAGACCTCGCCAAGACCTCTCTGACCACCTCTGGGGGAAGAAGCTACAATCAGACTATTACGGAATCGCTGAAGCAAGGACAGAAACATCAAATGCTTCTCAACTCACACAAGGAAATTACATCCGATTCCCTTTCAAGTCTACCCAAGACCTTCCCCACATCGCATTCCCTTCCTAATGCCAGCTCTTTGTTGGGATGTTGTGTCTATTCATAAAGTAACTCCCCTTTACATACTGTTCAAAAAGCACAGCTTATTAAGAACAGTAGCTAAGGAGAACGGTGGGGTCAGGACATGGTTTTCAAGTGCGTCACACAAAGAGAATGAGCTGAGATAAATGTTTGGATAGCAGCCACGCGTTTTTAAAACCAGTTGTCCACAGTTATTTTTCTTCATTATTTTTGTAAGGCAAAGATGTAGTCCAAGAATGCAGTGTTCCTTCCCATTCCTATAACATTTAAGACACTAAATTGTCTACCTTGTAGACTAAGCTTTATCTTTACAGAACTAGAAAGACACCGACATAAATTAAATTACACAGCTCCTCTCTGATGCTCGCTGCGACTGGAATGAACACCTCGGCAGGGGGATGTCCCAACCTTTCACGACAAGGCACCATGAGTTCTTTGCCTGGAGTGCTCTTTCCTAACCTGGGATGGCGACACGGTTTGGGGTGGTATGTGACTTCTCTGACAGACAATAACCTCACTCTTTCTCCAAGCTATAATGCCCCAAAGAAGTCGCTACCAAAAAGCATTCCTGTCCCAGGAGCATCAGGTTGCAGCTCTGGCCTGGGGGGAGGCTCAGCTCCCAAAGCACTCGGAGGAGACAGAAGGTCCATCTAGAAAGGTGTCCTTTGCCAGAGCACAGCACCAGCTAAAAATCAGTGTCCTTATAATAGCAGGTAGGACATTAATATTGCCCCCAGTTATGATAACTGCAGCTCACCACAACTCCTGGGTTCCAGCCCTATGGCAGAGGGGAGGTTTGAGGGTGGTTATCAGGACTCTGGCAGACAGATGTCCTTTTCCTCTTGCAGCTCTCCTCCTGCCACTCAATCCTGCTCCAGGAGCCCTCAAACACTTACAGAGACCGTTCAAGCCCAACATTACTCATGAAGAAGATGGTGTTTACACTAATACATCTCAGAGCAGGCTTGGTGGCCAGACCAAGTTCAGTCAACCCAACCAATGGGTTCAGTCTACACTTACTCCTCTAAAGGAGTATTTTACACTTCCATATCCCCCTTAAAAATATCATCCAGGTGCCAAAGCAGAGCATTCCCTTCAACAAATCTGCAAAATGCAAACGCTGAAGGAAGACCCAAGACCTAACAGCAAGAGAAGCTCTACAAAAGGGTCTGTATGTGCATCCAGCCCAGCATCCCTCGGAGCCACGGAAGGCAGAGCATCATTGCTGGGGTGCACAGCTCTCCCAGGGGACCACAGGAGGTTCTTCTGCACTCAGTCTCCATCACCTACTGCTGCGAAGCAACGCAGAGCCATGTGAAGCTCTCCTGCTTCTGATCAGCAGCACTTTAATCCATTTTAAAATCCCCTTGCATCGCTGTAAATGGCTAAATAAAATAAAGACACGCAGATAATCAGGCTCTTGTCTTCAAGTATTACCACTAAATTGCCTTCTCTCAACTTCTACACCTAAGTTGATTATTGCAAACAGCATTGCACATAAATTGTTATTAATTAGTACTGTTCCGTCATTAAAGAAAGCTCAGGGCCCGTTTGTTGGCAGCTCCCAGTCTGTCCCAGAATATCTGCAGATTCAGCAAAATCTAATGGGAACGTCTACATTTACAATTTCAGATTTCAACGTTCAAAAAATCAAAACTTTTCAACACATACCTGAGACAAATAGTTATTCAATAAAACTTATATGACAATTGTGAACCTTTGTTAGCTATGACAGTAAAAATTCTGCTGGAGGTCGGTATACATATTTTTACTTATATATAAAAAACTATAATAAATGAAAATTTATTACTGTGTGATGTGTATTGTTCCTATACATTTATGTTCATACACTGCAGTACACAGCATGATCCATTCTAGTTCTATGTACTCTGCAATACCTATTCTAATATATGAAAAATTGAACTTCTATAAAGGGGCTCTGTATTGATAGCTGCAGCCCTAAGAAGCACATAGTACTGTTTTATTACAACTGGCCAAGCCAATGTGATAAGTTTCTAGCATAAAATTTTAGAATATTAATTGACAGATATCACTTTGATTACTCACTTGTCTGCATCTCCTTTTATTTAGACATTGTCACATGAACCTCAAGCAAATATTACTAATATAGATGGGAAGGGGCAGAAAAGGACCTGCGGGGTGTTTATACTGCAGATATGATTCACAGATACGGGATTACATGTACCTTTATTGGTGATCTAAGCCCTTCCCTTCCGTACAGATTAAATGGCAAGGCAGCAAGAACTCAAACACATCTTTAACACTAGCCCCGAGGACCCGTTTTGCCCTAAACCTCTTGAAAACTTTCCCATTCCTTGAGCCATCAGTGGTACCTACTGTTTCCATTGTAGCTTTTCACCAGCTGAACTATAAAAAAGACATCTTCTTTTTAAACTATAAAAAGACAACTCTCTACTCTCCCTTTTTATGCATTTATTTATTTTTAATTTTTCCCGATGAACAGCTCTAGGGAACTTATTTCAAAGAAGTAATCAATATATCACAATTCGTGTGACATTAACTAACCGGCAGGAACTTCCGCTTGCTGTAACACTCTGTGACTTGAAAATTGTGCAACACCTTTAGTAAACACTTCCTCATATAGGAACAAGAATTAAAGCCGAGCGCCTCGCTCCCTCTCATTCACTGCACCGGAGAGGAGTGCTCAGAGCACACAGACTGGGAACCCAGCTCTCCCAGCCCACCGAGCCCACTCTGGACCAAGAATGACCAACACACTTCTTGTATCTGTTGTTTTGCTACATTTTCTCCAACAAGGTATGGCTTTTTTTCTTTCTTTTTATTTTTTTTTAATCTTTTATCAGCGGTCGCTCTGCATAACTTCGTGTAGCTTCTACAAATTGCTCCCTCAAACTTTTAATTATTAACATGTAGATAATACGGAAGAACAGTGAATTAAAGCCATTGGGGAAAAAAAAAAAAAGGTATTACTGAAGTTTGGGATGTTTTGATTTTTTATCTTTCTGTTCAAAGCAATTATCTAAAACCCTCTAGTTTGAAAATTATTTACTTGTGTGAAAACTGGCCATAGATTGATGAAAGACCCAGAACTGGTTAGTTTGTGAGCCAATTAAGAAAATACTTCCCCTGCAAGAGAGCAGACAATTTATCCACTTGGGACAACTTATTAAACAGACAGCATTTTGGCTGTAAAAGAAAAAAAAAAAAACCCTTTATTTTCATTCAATTAATAACCAAAATTAATTATCTGAATTAAAATAGTTAGCACCCCTAGTATCTGTGTGATACTTCAGGTTACGAGTATCTGTATGACTTAACCTTAACAGACCACACTTTTTTTTCCACCACGTGCATTGTTTCTTTCAATTCATGTCAACAGAGAACACATTTTTTCAGAGCTTGGCATGCACAAGCATGCACGGGTTTTATCTACATAATTAGACGTGTAATTTGTAGTCAGCCAGGTGTCATTATGATTTCATTAGCTGCACAGAATATCTGAAAATGTGCACAGAACTAATGCTTAAGGTGTTACCTATTTTGTTTCTTGACAAAATCAAACTTTCATTGACAATGAAATCCTCACTAATGATTTTTCTTCCTGGTTTACACTCTTAGAAAAGCACACAATTATGTGTTCCTTAACAGCATTTTTTCTAGCTGTTGTACAAGGCCCAAGGAATTTCTTTCCTCCTTAAAGCTACTGACTCAAGACAATGCCTGAAGCAAGACAAAGACAATGCACTGAGTTGATTAAAAAAAAACCTACCTCTAAGAAATTATTGGTTCCAGAAGAAAACTAACCCATTTTCCTCGAAATGCTGTTTGTATCACACTGTGGGAATAGCACAAGTTTAGTTCTGAGTCTCCGCTCAACTCTAGGCTAAACTTGAACCATTGGGCTACAGTTGGCCTTATAAAAAGAGTCTGCAACCCAGAGCAGGTGGGTAAAATTGAAGCACAGAATTCTGTTTAGAGGCCTAAAATATTACTGTGATCGTGACGTAAGAACATACCTTAAGCTCATGGAAAGACTAAGTCTGCAAAGCGAAAGATTTTTTGAAAGTAAACATAATTACTTGCTTAAAATAAAATCTAAGACATCATTGTAAATCACAGTAATGAACTGGTACTTGGTGTTTGCTAAAGCATGTGCATGGAGAGTCTCTGCGTACAGAGGGGTGGGACAACTTCTTCAAACCTATTCCCATTAGACCTCCATGCCTTTGTCAAGATACAACCAAGTTTATCCAAAAATTTATTATTTTTGGAAAGAATTTAATCAAATAAACCAGTTATGAAGAATTAACCTGTTTTTTTCACTGGAACAATTTGCATGAGGCTGTGCTCTGGTGTCCCAGATGCAGAAAGTTCCAGTAATGGGATGCCCTGCTCTTGTAAAAATCTGACCTTGAGGCAGACAATTAAAATGGGAGTTGCACTCTCCCTTTGTTGTTTGTGGTTTGGTTTCTATTTTACTTTCTTTAAGCACAGGCTGTTGTGCTTACTGCTGAGCCCTCAAGAATTTGCCAGTTCAGGTGAAATGACCTTTTGTAGGAAATTAAAGAGCTTAAGGAGGCACATAAAACCTGCTGCTGCCTTGATGGACTCTCACGCATCCTTTGTACAACCCCGTTTTCTCAAACGCTGTGCACCAGCTGCCATTATGAACTTCTAATGATGCAAGGTGTACTGGCCACCCTGCATGTCATGCCACAAATTAACTCTTGTCAAGATCCACTCAGAAACAGAAAACAAAATAGAAACATTTATCATCAGTATTTCCCCAACAAGTTCTTTACAGCCACTGCAGGGAAACAAGACACCTTATGAGTAAGACCAGTGAAAAGGGTTGTGTGAGTTAAGGCACCACCTGGATTCTTTACCACCTTCAAGTTTTTCCTACTTTACTGTTTATCTCCTATTATTTTTCACCTTCTCCAGTCTTTCTGCTGTCACAAGCGTGTAACAGTTCCCAACCTGACTCTAAGGATGTACTATTAAAGAGCTGTCACAAGTATTTATGCGATAAGAGCAGCTAGAAAGCCCTCTAAAGCAGAAATCTCGGCTCAGTCCAGACTTGTAGTGGGTTGTATGAGTTTATTTGCTTATCTACAGGCAGCCTGAACTTGTATGTCACCATGTGATAAGGTTTGGAGAGCACTTATTTCTTAATCCATGTCATATGCTAAATGTGAAGGGTGAAAGTTGCACGTCTCGTAGCTGGTCTAGCATGTTGGTACTCGAAACCACTGATCGGTGCTGGGGAAAGAAATCCAAAGCAAACTGCATAAAATATTTTGAATATTTTGACACCTGGAAATAGCCAGGTACACCAGCTTATCTGAAGTCCAGACTGTAACAAACGAACTGGGGGTGACTGCTCAACAGGATGGGTGAGCACACGCCAGAGCCAGCGCAGAGAATACATGAGAAACGAGTGGTGCAAGAGATGAATGACTATATGGCCCAAAAGAATTGGTCTTGACAGACATGAAATATGGTGTTTAATAAGTTAATACTGTGTTTTCATAAATATACATCTGTTTCTCCATAGGGAGCACGAGCAAGAAATTACCTGGAGTTGAGCAATATGAAATAGTTTATCCACGGAAATTGCACGCAGTGCACAAAAGAGATGTAGAAAGAAACAAAGAGGTATTAAAAGAGATAACTCTCTTCTTCTGTGGGAGGTGGGGAAGGTTTTCTGGAGTTAGAGTACCCTTGGGTTTCGTCCTGGTTTGAGGACCCGTTTCAAGAGTAGGAGAATTTGGAGCCACACACTTGTTCTTGCAAAAAGAAATGAAAGAGAAAACCTGGAGGGGTGACCCTGTGTCTGCCAGAGACGGGCTGTGACGGGTGCTTGCTGTGCAGGGAAGGAGCTGGGTGCCCTCAGTGGGTCTCCTGCACTTGTATCTCAGCAAAGATGTAGGTTTTGATACTTCTCAGATCTTGAATAACCTACGGACACTTGAATCTGAAGTAAATTAAATCAAATGTTTAAAACTAAGCACGCTCCTACCTAGTTCAAGAGAGTTATGAAAGTGTTTGAATTTAAGCATCCGCTTCAGCACTTTCCAAAAATATGCGGGGCAGGTGCTTATGATGGTAGAAATACATTTGCAAAGTTAAATTTCTTCCTCTAATTAAAAATTATAAAACAGAGTAACCTCCTGCTTATTCTATAACTGCCAGAATACTTATTTTTGGTGGGAAGAGAAGGAAAAGAATGCAGTTGGCAACTCAATAACAGCCAGCTCACAGCGAGGCCAGAAGTTGTAACAGTCCATATTCTAACACTTAAATCTGTTTACAGACAAAATACGATGACACAATGGAGTATGGAATCAAAGCCAATGGAGAGGAAGTCATACTGCACCTACAAAAAAATAAGTAGGTCCAGTTCAACTTTTTCCTTGAGCATTATTCCTCACTGTAAATGGCTCTGTAGGGTTTTTAGGATACAAAGAAACAGGATTTAGGCCCCTGTAAGACAGAGGTATTTTGGTAAATACAACCTTTACGCTACAATAAGAGAAGAAAAATGGAGAGAAAGCATCATGTCGCTGTTTTAGTAATGTGAAATAATTACCCAGGCACATGACATTACCAAGATGGAATGAATTGCCTTTACTGCTAACTCTGTTCTCCCATTTATTTCCTAAATCCATTGAACGTTTGAAGTTTTCCTATTATTTCACAAGTTTCCTGTGTCCATGAATAGTCCATGGGTTATATTTATTTGCTCTGTGCTGGTAGAAAATACAGAAAAGAACAAGAGAAATATCCACGAAATGGGGCTCTCTTGGCCAAAAATGGAAAACAGTAATAAATAATGTGATAATCCTCAATAATTTGGCTTCCAACACTCCCATCCTTAACACTACTGCTGTTGGGCTTCTAATATATACTGTCATTAACAAAATGCTTTGTGGAAATTGAAAGTGGGGAGAGTTTGCTTCCTTGGCTAAAGAGATTAACAGCATTTAAACAGAGGGTACGGAGAAGCAGTAGGTTTGGTTAAGAAAAGTCCAAAATTGAGTACAGAGGTAAAGCCCGGTTGAGTTGTGATTTTCTGCTTGCTGGCTCCACCAGAATATTTAACATAGGATCAAACAAGTCTGCTTTAATAGGTACTTTTCTAATGGCTGTGTAAATACAATAGTTCTATCATCAGTGCATGTTAAATATAGACTATAATTAACCGTTTGCCCCTGCTTTAATCTATTCTAAATATTTGGAGGGGGAGGTGTGGGAAATTTTATTGTACTAAATCTCGCTCCTTAAAAAGAAATGGGGTGGTGGCAGTTTGGGGCAGTTGCCTGGACAGATGTGAATGTAGACTTGCTTTGCTGCTAGCTGTAGTAAAATTACAGCCCTGGCTTAAATTTAAGCATGTGCTTAGTGCTCTGCTGCACAGGAGCCTGAACGCATGGAGCCCTGCGGGATCTGACCTTCCAGAGAAAATCACAAATGTCTCTAGTAACAAGAATCCCAAGGGCACCTTTCCCACTGGTGGCAGAAATACAGTAAATTATTCCATAGTCATGATGTCCTACTTTGAAGCTTCGAGTACACATATATGTATAAAAGTAGAGTTTTAGTTACATAGAAAAAACAAGTTCCGATAGAATGATTACCAAGATGAGAATTGTGCTCGCAAAGTTATAAAAAAGCTGCGAGCAAAAAGATTGGACAAATATATTCCACACAGAATCTCTTTGTGTGTGCACACGTGCACATACACATATGCACACACACACATACATGTCTGCACGGGCACATGTGAAGCAGATGAGGCAGCTTTCCCATTGACCTGGATCTTTGCTATTTATAACCAGTGGTGGGGAACTGGGAAAAGAACAGGATGGTACTGTCTCACATGCACTGTGGACCAGTGAAAATGACAACACAAATTAGAGGCCAAAAAAGGATCAATATGTAATATTTATGCATATGTAATTATACATTTACTTTCAGATCTACTAGGAGATTAGTTTATACCAATGAAATAAGTAGATTTTAATTGCTTTCCTAGTTCAGAAACGTCCCTTTGTTTGAGTAAGGATTAAGAACGGGCAGAATTCCCCACCCTGCAGCTGTGCTTCCCTGGTTTTTCAATACTAATAATAACCTGAGTAATCATTTGAATTCCCCACATACTTTGGGTGTTACACAATTGCCTCATTTCTAGATGACTACAACTCATTTTGAATAATAATTGCATTTGACTCTTTGCAGGCACCTATTAGCCAGAGACTACACTGAAACGGTTTATTCTGATGATGGTCGACAAATAACCACAAGTCCTCAGATCAAGGTAATAATTAAAGATTTCCTTCCCTCATACTTGCAGTCTTGAGGAGGTCTATAAGGGATTCATGGGTCCGTGAGATAATAGCACATCTCAGATGGAAAGAAAAGATTTTAAATCCAAGTTCTAAGCTGTGTAATTTATGATGAGTAAGGGACGGGGAAGATGTGACTTTGACAGAGCTACACTGATTTCCACCTGCTGAAAATCAGTTTGTCTTTCAGAAAGATGAGCGTTTTCCACCTTAGCAGCAGCCAAACACATTAATGAGCTGAATTTCTCTGCTCTGCCAGGAAAGGGAGTGGAGTCAGGGCCATGGCACTACCTTACCTCCCGACTTTGCCCTCCCGACTTTGCTCATTCTGTGCAACTCGATGACTGGCTCTTACACCCTAATCTCAGTGAGATCATAGATTCAGATAAGGACACATTTCCTCACTGGCTCACATTTCCACCCACGCTCACAGCAAAAGCACTGCAGGTTACCCCAGGTGGTTTCTCTGAGCCATGACAAATCAGTTATTCAGATCCAGACACAAAGGAAGTCACTAAAGTTATTTTTTAATTAACTGCGCACTCATCTTCAACAGAGATCTCACCTGAAGCTTTGTCTCCAATGTCACGCTGTATGTTTTAACACATGTAATTTGGAATATAAAGCCTAATATCCTTTGTCATGGAGCGATTAGCAGGAACAGGAGCATCTTGAGTGAAATAGATGTGCATAAAGAACTCTGTTTGGGGTTTTTGTGTGTGGATGAAAGATGTCATTTCCTTGTGTTCCGATTACTTTCACTCCCTGAAAGGATTCTTTGAAAAACAAATACCACCTATGCCTGGTTAAAGATAACCTCACACCTGGGAGATGCTCGCTGAATTAGGAATCCCTACACTGTGGATAGTTTATCTTAATCTCAGGAGCTGTTTCTCTTGTATCCCCCAAGAGATAGAGAATAATTCTCCAGTTCTTTCTCTAGTAATTTTCACTTTGTTGTCTTAGTCACTGCAAGAAAGTTTGCCCATTGTGATGGGAGGAAGACAAATAAATGCTAAAGCAAAACCAAACATCCCTGAGAAAACAAAAGGTTGAATACTTTTATAGGCCTCTCTTAAGATACCTATAAAGAAAAATTCTATGGGTAAAATTTTCCATAATACCTCAGTGACTTTGAAGTCTCTTTGAACACCAAAGCGTTCATTAGACCTTAGATCCTTAAGTCAATTAAGTCATGAAAATTCTTCCCCCAATCATATGTTTTAATATAATGCATGTATTTTCATCTAATTGAACTTAATGCATTTAATTATTGGTTTAATATTAAAGGGTGTTTCCTTGAAATTTGGCCACAATAAAAACATTTGGTACGGACCTTGATTCAGCAGAGCACAACAGTACATGCTTAATTTTGAGCAGTGATTATGCATATTCTTATTTTCATGTACTGTAATGTATTGACCAGAGCCCACTGTGACCAGATTTGTCACAATCTGGGTCACTCTGCTGAAGGATAACAATAACATTGCAAACATGGAAACGGTCACCAACTTTTTTCATTTTAAGAGCTTCCTCTATTTCCTCAGACACTGCCGTTTGCTGTAGCTTGTAGCCAGTGTAGTTCATCTTCTGAAATCACTGGACTGAGACCAATTCATTGCAGTCAATGAGGCATGGCCCGATTTGACAATGTATTTTTTCTTTCTAACCAGGATCACTGTTATTATGAAGGTTACATCCAGAACGATGCTGATTCCGTCGCCAGCATCAGTGCTTGCAGAGGTCTAAGGTAAGACAGATGTTTGCTTCCCCTCCCAAAGGGTACCAATGGCTAAATATGCATGTTCTATGAGGAGAAATTTTCCAATATAAAATAATCAGGATGTAAATAAGCTTACAAGGAAACTAGTTTGCCAAAAAAAAAAAAAAAAAGGAAAGGGGGGGAAAAAAAAAACCACAGTGAAGAACCTCATAACCAAGTTATGAGCTTGTTTTCTTCTTTGTAAGATACAACTAAGATGACTCCAGGAATTTAGGGGAGGTGAAAAAAAAAAAAAGGAAAAAAAAGGAAAGAATAAAGAAAAAAAAAAAGAATAAAAACAAGAGAAAGAATCAAGAAAAAAAGAAAGAATCAAGAAAAAAAAAGAATAATAAAAAAGAAAGAGTAAAAAAAAAAAAAAAAAAAAAGGGAATGGAGGGAGAAAAATAAGCTACTTTTCTTCTTCAGTTTCAGAGTTTATAAATTGGAAGCTAAAGAAACCTCTACATCAATAAATTGATATGACTAATTCCGTATTAGATCTGGTCATAAATCATAGCATTTGGTGGTGCTTAAAGTAAACCTTTAGGGTTGATTCTTCTCAGCTGTAGGAAGCTCCACTGACACTTAAGAGAAGCCTACATCATTTTCAGAGCTACAGCAGCTACAGGGTCAGAAGTTCAAGCTTTTTTATGAAAAGCTCAGTTAAAAGAATCTGTTCATTTCTAATCACTGAAGTCCCAGTAGTAGAACATAAAAAGGCAAGAGGATAGCTGGGGAGTCTGAGAATCTGGAGCATTGGAACATTTCCCAGTGGATTGTGGGGTTTTGCAAACCCTGGACTTTCTTTGTCAACACTTCTTGCATATTGTCAAGTTTACATGTTAATACAAAACACTTATTTTGAAATTCGCTGCTCAAAATTATTCAAAACTCTTAATTCCTTTCAATATTTCAGCCTTTCATCTCAATTAAAAATGAAAACATATCTTTGAATACCCCACAGAACTGAAATTCACTTTTCAATCACCTCTTTTAATACAAAACCCTAAAGTTTAAATCTAATTAATTCCTAAACCAGTTTCTTTTTGACCGACGGTCTCCTACTCAGAGACTTCACTGACCACACAAATCTTCCAAGTGATTTCTGCTTTTAAATTGTTGTACAATTTGCCTGCTGCCAGACTCTTCCATCGTGTCAGTGCATGCAATGGTCCGAACGCTTGGGCTAAACGCTGTTAGGGATAGTGTTGGTATCATGACTCAGTCCTGCGGATACAAAAGATCACAGTCTGACTCATTTTCTTAGTGGATATTTTGAGATGCGTGGCCAGAAGTACCTCATTGAACCCTTGGGGACTTCAGACAGAGAGGAACATGCCGTCTATAAGTATGAGAACCTCGAACAAGAGCCCATAAAAACCTGTGGTCTAATCAATAACACCTGGGAAGATGATTCAATTGACCCCATCAGTGACTTCTTCAAATCCAGCAACAGTCCAGAAGTAAGTACCTACTTAAGCAACAGTCCAGTAAGTACATGTCAGAAAAGAAATTGTGGCTGTAGGAAAACCCTGAGTCACACAAGTCCCACTTTGTGCTAATCTATTCCAACCCCGGAATAGAAGTGATTGCAAAGTGAAGCGTAATCAGATCTTAAAAACCAGTGCAAAACCTCACAGACCTGAGATTTCAGAGTCACCACCCGAGTTAAGCCTTCCTTCACGTACTAGTAGGTGCCCATGGGCACCTTTAAACATCTAAATACTTTTTAATGTTGAGTCTACCTTTTAATACCTCGCCTGCCTTTCATCATTTAAACCAGGCAGTCCCATTCTAAAAGACTTGACTAAAGAAACACCCCCATTACTAATACATGGGTCTGAAATTGCCGAGGTTGGGACTGAAGCAGGTTTTAGAAATCCTTCAAATGTCTCTTTTCTTTAGATGAAAGCATACCTGAAAGCAAAAAAGTACCTGGAAGTTTACATAGTTGCAGACAATACTTTGGTGAGTATTGAAATGATTTTTTCTTATTTGACCAGCTTGAGGTGAACTTTCCAAAGCAGATACTACCCATGGCCCCAGGGTCACACAATTACAGCACTACACTGTGTTTTACCACTGACTTTGGCCAGGAATAGCATTTCTTAATGTCATTTGATTTTGAAAATCCCACCTGGAGATGCCAAGAATTCAGAAAATGCCATGTACTGCCCATCTTCCTCTGCACCCTACACATAAATACACATTTTAAAAGGGCCTGATCTTGAAATACATTGTCTGATAAAACAGTACATTGAAAAGATAATTAGTGGCCCAGGGGTGGTGTGGTTTGCAGTGTAATCTTCTGTGGGATATTTCTTTTCAGACAAATAACTTTTTTCCTTTCCTTTTCCTAACCCACCATATTTACTTTTTTAGTATAAGAAGTATGACAAAGATGTTAAAACCGTAAGAGAAAGGATATTTGGAATAGTCAATTACATCAATACGGTAAGAGGAAATACAGCAAAGTGAAATTTAATTATAAGTTATTTATCACTTATATAATGAATTTTCATTATTGTATGTAGGAAAGAATGAAATCTGAACTTCATTGTAATTTATGAAGTGAATTTAACACATCTGTCCATATTATCTTGTTCCTTGTCCTCTGATAAGAGATTTCTATAAATTCAATTATTGTTAAAGAAAGAGTTATACCATATTGTCTTAATAGCTTTTAAAATGAATGATTTAAATCCTTCAAAAAGAATTAACTGATTTTGATTCCTGATTTCTTTTACAAGTCGAATTTCTTCCAAGCCAGTGATGGAGTTTTAAGAATTTTAAGAATTTTTGAGTATTTTAAATTGGGGAAAAATAAGATTTCGTGTTTTGTTTTTAATTTTTTGTTGCAACTTCAAAGTGCTGAAAAGCTTAATCAGATCTGGAGCGAACAATATGTGACAAGTGGCAAAAGTGAACCAATTCCCAGGATAAGAGTTTGTTACAGATACTCCATTCTTACAGCACCGCTGCTTCTCTGCTGCAGGTTTATAAGGCCATAAATATCTACGTGGCTTTAATTGGCCTAGAAATTTGGACCGACGGTGACAAATGCCTCCTGAGCCGTGCTGCAGGATTCACTCTGGACAGTTTCTCAAAGTGGCGTCTGTCGGATTTATTAAATAGGAAAAAAAATGACAACGCTCAGCTCCTCACGTGTGTATCACTCTCTTTCCTGTTTGTCTTTCCCAGTCTGTTAAAGGAATTTGTTTTTTAAAAATTGATCACCAATGCATCAGTGATTGTCTATACTGAACAGGGTTTGACGCTTTCCAATCCAAGATTGTACTAATTCTAGGACAAAGAGAAAAACGTAGGCTCTCTTTCCTTTCTGGTGTTTAAGCTTCCTACCTGAATCCCTGCAAAAACAGGCAAAGGAAACTTCTGTTTTATCTCAGTCTCTCCTTTTCCTTTTCTCCCTTTCCCTTTTCCTCTCTCTCAGCTGTCCCAGCACAGTGTAACAGCGTAAGGAGCCACAACACGAAGGTTAAATGCTGGGAAACACACATTGCCAAATTAAACCAGTGCTCACTCACTCACTTCACTCTTCTGGCTCATGTTCAACGGCCCTGAATCAGCCAAACACTTTGCTACCTTCAGAGCACTTCATCAAGCTCTTTACACTCAAACAGATACTCCGAGTCTGATGAACTGCGACATAATTGAAGTCAAAACTTAAAATGAAAAGCGCATTCAGTTGTTTTCTGATTTGCAGCGATCTTAAGTACGCCCTCAAATATGGTATTAAATCAGGGAGCCAGAAATGAGAATATGCTTAAAGCCCAGTTAACAAAAACAGACTTGATTCCTGATCTGGTTCCTGGTCACTTCATCACATTTCACTGCCTTTCTCCTCCCTTACAGAGGCTACGACTTTGAGGGGACAACGATCGGATTAGCCTTTACCAAATCCATATGCAGTGATACATATTCTGCAGGTATTATTCAGGTCTGATTTGCTTTTGTTTATTTTATTTCTTAAAGGCTTTTCTGTGTTTTACGCTCAACCAGCAAAGAATGTTTGCAAGAATCATTTGGTGTACAACACTTTTGGTTCTGTCTGGTTCACTGCACTATTTTATTAGACTGCAGAAATTCACAGTCAGACCTTTCAATTTAGATGAAGTGCAGAGGGTAAAGAAAGCACACACAAAGCATGGAATATGTGTTATCTAAATGCCAACACCAAACCAACAACTGTATTTGCAGTACCAGGCTCCCACAGAGTCAAAGGAGAGAAAGAAATTGTTTTGTTCCTCTACCCTAAGGTTCCCTGTTTTGAACAGGGAATTGGTTCTGCCTGTCATAACGCATATCATCAATTTGGCCACTTAATTACAGCTGCCTAAAGTACTGCACTTAAACTTCTGTCTAAAGAGGAAGACAGATCCAAAACTTTACCAACAACACCTGGAACTCCACTGTTGTCCCCGGCTTCAGGGGCCAGGCTTGTTGGTAAGAGGAACAACCCCCAGGAAATTCCAGCTTTCCCACACCATAAGGAAATTGTAGACAACTGGAAAACCCAAAAGCTTTTCAGGGTGTGGGGATGCAGTTTGTGGCAGCACGATTTGCAATGCTGTGCTGGAAGAGCATGACCAGTACAACATGTCTCGTGCTTTCTGCGTTTCCAGTACCACCAGCTGTTTATACATCTGGATTTCACCAAAAAGAGCAGGAATTTTCCTTTCCTCCCTCCCACCAAGCAGCACAAAACACCAAGCTAAGAGCAGAGATGGAGCACAGCATCTGCCTTTCCTTTCTGTGCACACACAACACTATACACAACAGCTACCTTGATGTAATGAGTAATAATTATATGGCACCCGCATAATTACCCTAAGCACAGAGACCAGAGAGGATTAAGAGTTTCAGATGTTTGGTTCCCCTTAACATTCAGTTGTTACTTGGCAGCCTGGCTTCCTCATGTTTATTTAAAAAACTAATTATACCAATTTATTCAAGTTTATTAGTGGTATCATCTCATTGCTATTGTAATATAATCCACCATAAACTGCGGAATAGATGCATGCATGAATTGAACAGCATATCAGTCCTTATGTAGCAGTGAGGATAATTTCACTTGAATTAAAATTGTCCTTTTTTTAGTTACATGACCAGGTTGGAGGGGGCTTTGAGCAACCTGGTCTGGTGGGAGGTGTCCCTGCCCAGGGCAGGGGGGTTGGAACTCAATGATCTTTAAGGTCCCTGCCAACTCTAACCATTCTATGATTTTGGGGTTTCATAGAAATAATTGCCTGTTCTTATCTCTACAGGACCATAACAGAAATGAAATTGCAGTTGGAGCTACCATGGCACACGAGATGGGGCACAACCTTGGCATGAGTCACGACACCAAGGCCTGCACATGTAGTGATAAAGTTTGTATCATGACGGATACTGTCAGGTAGGAGTTTGGGTAAAAGAAGCGAGGGTGTTAATGCACAAGGTGGTTCAAGCTGGGCTTTGGATAAACTGCTGGTTTCCAAAATGGAGTAATAATTATTTCTGCCCTCTGAGATTCTTCCATTCAAATTATAGAAAAATAAGAGAAAAATGAAGAAATTACAGGCCATTCTAAGATATACTGAGATGGATACACCCCCCCAAAAAAAACCCCAAAGAAACCCACACCAAACTTTAGTCCCTTTTGGATAACACCAGCTTTGTGTGCATGTTGGTGGCCTCCACATCAAACCATCAGTCATTTCTTCCTTACAATGGCTCCAGCACGGAACTGCTGAGGTGTCTCAGGTGACAGAGTATCCTCAAGATTTACCTGAAGTATAATTTTGTCTTCTACCCTGAAGATGGCTCCTGTGAAACCCACACAAAGCACTTGCACCTTCAAAAAACACACATTAGAGAGGAATTTAGTTCAATTTTCATCTCTAGCTGAACACCCTGAGCCTCTGTTGGACACCCCAGTGGAAAATTCCTAACGCCTGAGACCTCCAGGCACAAATTGTGTAGACCAGGCTTAAATGTGGGATTTATTACATGCAGTGTTCGCATTTAGTACATCAATTTGTTTTGATATTTTCATTTCTGCTTTTTTTTTTTCCCCCTGCTGTGAGTAAGAGATAACCATTTTATGGAATATATATGGGGAAATGGTTACACCCAATAGTTTGGAGGATGGTCACTTGTTTCATTTCTCTTGTAAAGGGCATTGTTTTTTCCCTGCCTGTGCCAATCCTAACGTCAATTCTCCTGCTTTCTCAATATAGTTCCATCATCCCCAAGAAATTCAGCTCTTGCAGTCTCCAAAGTTTTGAGAAATACATGCTGAGTGACATGCCAAAATGCCTAACAAACATCCCAGACATAAACAGCATCGTAGCACCTCCGACCTGTGGAAATGGCTTTGTGGAAAAAGGAGAGGAATGTGACTGTGGCACTCCCGAGGTACCTGCATAACCAGGAATGAAATAATACTTGGAAGAGGCAAAGAGGTTTTTTCAGGCTGTACACTTCCAGTTTGATGATCAGAGGGTTGGGGCCCCTCTGCTGGGAGGGGGGACTGAGAGAGTTGGGGGGGTTCAGCCTGGAGAAGAGAAGGCTCCATGAAGACCTCAGAGCCCCTTCCAGTCCCTCAAGGGGCTCCAGGAGAGATGGGGAGGGACTCTGGATGAGGGAGGGGAGCCCTAGGAGGAAAGGGAAGGGTTTGACACTAAAAGAGGGGAGATGGAGCTGAGAGGTGGGGAAGAACTTCTTTAGTGTGAGGGTGGTGAGAGCCTGGCCCAGGTTGCCCCGAGAAGCTGTGGCTGCCCCATCCCTGGAGGGGTTCAAGGGCAGGTTGGAGGGGGCTTGGAGCAACCAGGTGTGGTGGGAGGTGTCCCTGCCCCAGGCAGGGGGTGTAATGAGATGATTTTTAAGGTCCCCTCCAACCCAAACCATTCTGTGATTCTCTGATTCTGTAAATTTTCAAGGTAGCAAGTTCAAAGCCAGCTGAAATATTTCTGTGGAAACTGCGGTCAACAAATTGCTGATCTGCAATGTAGCCCCCCCTATCAAGCACAGGTCAAATGATGAGAAAGGCAGCTGTGTGGTTTGCCCTACTGAACTGACAGAGGAACAGAGAATGGGGAAAAGCCCCAAACGAAACCATCACAGCAGAAATAAGCAAGTTCCCTGATCAACTTCCATCAGCACTTTCATAATCAAACACGCTTCACATCCTTTATGCCTTTGCTCCCACCGGCTGGTGTGGCTTCCAGGGAAAATGGGTTTCAGAAAAGCAAAGTGGAGATTTTCAAGACCCACCTGGATGCAGTCCTGAATAACATGCTCTGACAAGCTCTGGGTGGTCCTGCTTTAGCAGGGGAGTTGGACTAGATGATCTCTATGGTCCCTTCTAACTCTAAAAATTCAGTGAAAGTGCAGGTCCGAGGTTTCCCTCTCCCCCTCCCTCAATAACCGAGCACAGGGTGGTTTGTTGAGAAGCCAGAGCTGAGGGGACACCCCCAAAGCATCGTGGCAGAGCTCTGACTGCCCCTTCTCTCACAGGAGTGCACAAACGAATGCTGTGACCCCGAGACGTGCAAACTGACGGCAGGTTCCCTATGTGCACACGGAGAGTGCTGTGAAAACTGCCAAGTAAGACACCTTTTAATCTCCACATTTTCTGGGTTATATTTTTTTTTTGCCTATGAGAAAGCAGAAATACACCTTTCAAAGTAACCCATCCTCTTTACCTGTAATTACTGACGTAGCACTGTAATGACTAGCACACTTTGACCATCCCAAACTACACCACAACCGTTCACTCACTAAATCTTTTAACACAGAAATGAGCATTTTGGTTGCTCATTTTTCTCCTGGAAAGAAAAGCTGAGGCACAACCAGGGAAAAAAACTTGTCAATTGACAAAACCAACCTTAAATTAGTTATGGATTTGGCAACTGGTACAGGGAGGATGGGATTTGTCTCCCCTAATTTTAGGTCTCGCGTTCTACAGGGAGGATGGGATTTGTCTCCCCTAATTTTAGGTCTCTCGTTCTACAGGGAGGATGAGATTTGTCTCCCCTAATTTTAGGTCTCTTGTTCTATAGGGAGGATGGGATTTGTCTCCCCTAATTTTAGGTCTCTCGTTCACTGTGATTTTCAAACGGCACGGAAGAGCACCGTGTTAAGTGTGGTATTTCTCTCTCTTCCTTCAGTATAAAAAGGGGGGGGTTGTTTGCCGAGCGGTTCAGCACGACTGTGACCTGGCTGAGATGTGCACTGGCTACTCTGCAAACTGCCCAGAGGACAGATTCCGTGTGAACGGACACCCCTGCAACTACGGGGAAGGCTATTGCTACATGGGAAGCTGTCCCACCAGAGAAAACCAGTGCAAAGATGCTTTCGGACCACGTGAGTACCCGTTGGCATCAAAGAATAAGGTTGCTTAGGTCAAAGGAGAGAGACAGAGGTAGGCTCTGTCTGTTAGCAAATCATCAAAGAGCTTTTGTATCTATATAAGCGAGTTCTAGTTTGTAGCATGCACTTTATGAAGTATTATTACCTTCCTATTTGCACCGTAAGTGATTATAATCATGTGAGCTGAAGCCCAGACCATACAATGCAATGTATTTCTAGAGAAAAGGGAAGTGGTAAACGTATTCCTCTTTTGCACAATGTTTTTGAGATAACTTTGGAACGGAGCTGGGTGAGTATTCTTTGCTTGATAGGAAGAGGAAATGTCTGTATTTCAAATTTATGCCCAAATTTAGCATGCCTTTATGCTTCTGACGGTGGCTTACCCTCTTCCCAGTCCTAAACCATCTCCAGAGAGCCACCTAGGCCCATGGGCAGCTTCACTGGGAAAGGCCATTTCTTAAATAGGAAAAGGAAATGGAATATTATTATTTTTCACAGAGAACTTAAAGTAACACCATTGCATTTTGCTCTTTCACAGATGCTACTGAAGGTGCACTATCCTGTTACCGGATGAACGAGAAAGGGGTATATTACGGATACTGCAGAAAAGAAAAAGGTAGTCACGTCCCGTGTCAAAAAAAGTAAGCACTGTGTTACAGAATTTGCTGAGATTTGGGAAGAGACATCACTCCTAGTCTAATTAAGAGACAGAAGCAAAGAGCGCATTATTTCAGATGGCACATATGTCCATGAGTCCCTTCTTGTTCAGTTTGAATATTGTGGTCAAGACAATGCTAAGAAAACGAGCTTCCAAATTTTGAGATCAGTCTGAGAAAGAGCAAGTGGGTACATAGATACGTGCAAGCCAGGTCACGAGGATGACTCTGTGTGTGTGTGTGTGTGATTGTGTGCGCAGGTAAGTACGGGGAAGAGATTTGAGACAGGGAACTTGAACCTCAGGTGAATCTCAGAAGTTGAGGTCAGTTCAGTTAAATACTCATTTCTGCAAATTACTGTGGGCTCCCTCATAAGCTCAGGAGGAATTAAGAACCTGCCACCTCCTAGTCATAAACTGACCTGAAAACACCACAAACCAAACTTCCTTTCTGCAGGTTTTTTTTTTTTGTGAGTTCCTGTACAGACACAACAAATCCAAGCTGGAGGAGAGACCAGCTCAGAGAGTTCTGTTGTGCTGTGTCCTTCTAGCAGCTCTTGTTTTCCTTCCAGAGATAAAATGTGCGGCAAGTTGTTCTGTGCTGGGGGAAATGAGATGCCTCGGGAGGGGAGCCTGGTGACTTTCGAGTCCTGCAAAGCCAGTTTTCCTAGGAATGGAGGAGCAGACGCAGGGATGATACTCGATGGAACAAAGTGCGGGGATGGGATGGTTAGTGGAGAAGGCTTTTTTCCTTATTTTTCCCCTCTTTCAGTCTCGCTTATGTCGTTACCTCTTATATCAGACAAGAGAGATTTTAAAAAGGGAAGACTGAAGCAGACACTAAACTTCTGCTGCTGTGATTTGTGGTACCTTCTGCCTTACACCCATCACAAAGCAGCAGCAAAGCAAACAGGAACTGTTCTCACTCCAGTTGCCTTATGTTTGACTGCTGTCTTGTTATTTTTTACTAACCCAAACGTAATTGGCAACAGAAACATACCTTTGTGTAAACGATTAAAAGATCACACATATATTACTACTTTTGATTATTTCCATAACTGGTGTGCTAGGCATCACTGAGTGCTATTTCCAATTTCTTTGTGATATATTTCCACTTGGGAGAAGGGGGGGAGGATGAAGGATTGAAGAGGAGTGGGAAAACAGCGATGTCTGTACATCTTTGTCACTCCCCCTTGCTATAAAATACCCAAAGGTTGAATGAAAAATTACGTCCACATATCAAACTCCTAATGTAGGTTTAAGTGATCTGCAGACCTGTTTCTGTGCCTCCTTTTACTCCTCATCACTTTACACAATAGTGTGCAAGTTCTGCATGTTCTGAAAGCTATAGATCACCCGGGTAACATTTGCCCTCTGCGTTTCAGGTGTGCAGCAAGGGACAATGTGTCTATGCTGAAGATGTCTTCAGATCAACCAACTGCTCTGCCAAGTGCACCGGACATGCTGTAAGATATGACTATTTCATGCTATTAATGAAAGACAGACAGAAAATTATGCATATCAGCTACAGACCTTATTGATGACAGTATTTAAGTCATTGGGACTTAAGTTGTGGAGTCAGAATCTTCCTATATTTTTATGAAAGCAAATCTAAACTGACTGGTATCAGTAATTTTTGCTAAGATGACCAGATGGAGAGAGATTCTGTGTCTGGCCCTGCCTCTGAGCCAGGGTATCACAGCTATTCTCTTTCAGGTCATCTTCCGATTTGGGAAAATAATTGTGCTCATCTTATTCAAACGTGTAGAGACGTACAGATCTAAAGACCAACTCTGCTGCTTTGTGCCTTCTGTTGGAGCTTTCACTGCAGAAAGACCTGCCAAAGACACACAACAGCAGATGCTCAGGCCTGTCCTTTCCTGTGCAAAACTTCCATTCTCTGTGCTAAATTTTAGTCCAAGTAAAATGCGAGGGGGTTTCCAGAACCAGCTTCAATAACCTCATCAGGACCCTGATCGAGAGCCACTGACACCTTTATGGGATCACAGCCTCACTCTTATTTCCAACCTGACTTTGTGCTTCCCCAGGTGTGCGACCACGAGCTGCAATGCCAGTGTGAAGAAGGATGGGCACCACCAACCTGCGACAGCTCCTCAGCAGTCACCAGTAAGTGCTGCAGGGCCACACACTGGGAACTGTCACCCGCTGACCGAGACGAGCTGCTTTAGCTCCAGTGAAGCAGCCCTGGCTTGCTAACTTCATACATCCAGGAGATTATTTAGAGTAGCAGGCTGTTCCTTTCTCCATCCTGAATAACAAGCACACCATATCAGCTCACCTAACTTTGAGTGGAGGCAAGCTCCCAGAGGTGAGTAGCAGGCTGTTCCTTTCTCCATCCTGAGATAACGAGCACAGCGTATCAGCTCACCTAAATTTGAGTGGAGGCAAATTTGAGTTGCTGTGCAGGAGGTGGGCAAGTTCATTTCTTTATCATCTGCATGGAACTGCCCTTTAACTGATCTGCCTCTGAGGGAAAATACTTTGTGTACATATTTCCATGTGTTTGGGGGGAAAAAAAAAAAATTAAGCCTTTGTTATTAAATACTTTTGTCCTCTCTCCACATTCACTAGAGTCAGTTCTCAACATTGTGGCTTGGTTAAGGCTTTAGAATAGCTTTGCTGAAGGAAAATTGTGAAGCCCGACTTGCATACACTGCCAAAGGCCTGCTCCCATCTTTGGGTAATACCCTTTGAGAGACAGAAGAGAAAATACAATTAAATGGTCTTTGAGGATGGACAGAAAGGGCTAGGTTTGTTTAACCCAAGGACAGCTCAGGCAATAACCACAGTCTTCAAATATGGCAAAAATGGCAGGAATACATTCCTTTCCATCAGCATTTGTGTCAGGAGAAGCAGCCATAAGCTTGAGCAATAGTGGGTCTACACCTCGTGAAAAAAACTACTTTGCCAATGGTGGTGATGGGAAACTGTAATAGTAGATCTTTTAAGAAATAGCAGCTTTTGTTCTCTCTTACTTTGCCAATGGTGGTGATGGGAAACTGCTTGGTAATAGTAGATCTTTTAAGAAATAACAACTTTTGTTCTCTGTCCCTGCCAGGCTTTGCCATTGTTGCTGGTGTCCTGATTGTCCTTGCTGTCACAACTACTACAGCAGTGTTACTCATCCGCTTCCGAGTATTCAAGAAGAGGTAAAATTCTTACCCTCAATAAGGGAAAAAAACCTAAATGCAAGAAACTTCTGGATAGGTTTTAAGCTGGGGTTTTCAAAGGTGTGGAGGGAATTAGACACTGAAAAGCCAAGGAAGTTGGTCTTTGATGAGCTGTTTCAGAAATCCGATAGTTGGGAGAGAACTGAAGACTTGAAATTGTAGCTCTCAAGATTAATTCTAAATAAGTTTAAAAAAAAGAGGGAGAGATAAAGAAATAAAGAAAGGACATGGCTATATAACACACCAATAGGAGTATGACAGGCATTCAACTTTAGCAAGTATTTTTACTTCAGTGTGGGTGAGATTTACAATCATATGTAATATTTGCATAGCCGCCAGACCAGAAGGGGACCTGGAACCACAAACCAAGTCTTTGTGAGTCAAGAACAGAGATGCAGAGAACATCCAGTCCTGGTGGCACCTGCCCAGAAGGTAAGAGCAGGGAAGCACTGGGTCAGCCATAGCCTGCCTGGGATCATAACCAAGGGGTTGAAACATCAAAACTCATTAGCTAAATGTGCTACACTTTCACGAGGGTTTCAAACCCCTTGTCTGTGGCTGAGAGGACAGTGCTGCGAATCCCAGCATGGGGAGGGAGTGGGGAAAGCACATGGCACTAAGTCCCTGACTAAAAATAATGCAGAAGGTAAGGGCTCTAACGATTTAACCATTCTCTCTTTTCAGACAAATGATAAGAAACTCCTCCTTCCCGTACCTCCACTGCAGGAGAACAAACCACAGCACCAGAGCGTAAGTACTTCTAGAGAGTCCTTTGCTCCCATGTTGGATTTGGGGAAGACCATCCAAACCAGTTCACCCCATGGTGGAGACCCTCAATGACAAATCTGATCCCAAAGGCTGGGGAGATTACTGCACGTTCTCAGGGCCAGACAGCATAAAGCATCCCTACTTCTGAAACAAGTGCATCCTTCTACCCCTATAAATGCACTTTTTCTATAGAACACAAGTTCTGCACAGTCCCATGGGAACACACGGATGTACACATACACAATCTGTATATAGGGTCAATATGTTTTATATTCTCTTCTTTCACAGCCTGTCATAAGGCCAAAAGGTCCCCCACCTCCTGTTCCTTCTACCAAACCAGCATCTTCTCACACAGAAGAGATTTTTGTAAGTATAACCCTGCCACTTTGCACGTCTTTCATCTGCATTGCAAATGACTATCAGAAAATATTTACCACCTCAGCTTTTTGAACCCCCTGCCCAAGGGTGTAGAATCTTCACACTAGCAACACAATTGCCTGATACTGCAATAAATAAGTCATTTAAAAAACTCCATATTGCAGCTTGATTATAAAAACACAGTTAAATCCCACTGTCTTTAGAGATGCTTTCCTCAACACACACCTTGAGTACGTGAGCAGCTTTAGCTTCCTAAGCAGTCTATTTGATCATGAATACTTGATACAGATGAACTTAAACATTGAGAATAGCTCAGTGCTCTTCTGAAACAGGAGGCCTAAACCCCTTGTGTGTTTGTATTATTGCACCTTCTTGTATGTGGACAGA